AAAAAAAAAAGAACTATATTTTGTACTTTCTTCCTTTCTCCTCCTTTAAAGAACTATCTCACATCACTTCTTACATACATTACTCTCTCTTTTCCCCTCGTCCCTCCTACACCCCAAAGGAAAAGAGGAAACTACATCAACGTCGACTGGAATGGCAGAAGGAATGAATAAGGATAGTCAAATAAAGCTATTTGTTCTGTTATGTTCCGCATATTAAGAACGAGTAGACAATAGACATAAAAGTTTCATTATACGCCGCTTTTCTGCTTCCTTTTTTTCCTCTTCCTCCCCCTCCCCCCCCCTCGGTATCTGTATCCGCTTATTTTACAATATAAGTATGGCCCAGTGGTTGGGCAGTTGTCGTATTGATCAGTAGAAGTTATCGTAATTTCAGGGCCATATTGCTTTAAATACGAAATAACTCTTTAACAGTAGCAACAGGATTCTATTTCATTCTACTGATACACGACACTCCATTAGTGAGTTCTCCTCAAAAAATAAAAAAAATAAATAAATAAGTAAAATAAAAAATAGATAAATAAAGAAACAAATACATAAATAAATTAGGAAAAGCATTAGCGGCAATAACTGCTATGTCACTGTCTAAATTCACATCTCAATCACTGATTTGTCCTCAAAAAGTGATTCAATTTTCCATCCAACCGCCGATTTTTTCCTCAGTATTCTCGTGATCTGTTGCCTCAACTATTCCTTTCGACTACTATTCAAAATGGTCATACAGGTTTAAGAATGAACTTTTCTTTTCTGTATTTTTAATGTCTTCAAGAGTGACCGCATCCGCCGATTTATTTAAAAATCTCCTTGAACAGCCACTGTTAATAAATGCGCTTCTCTTGTTCACAGTAAAGCACCAGCAGTGTTCACGAAAAATCCCACTTATCAACCTTTGAACGATTGTGCACAGAAATTTAAGTAATTGAATTTGATATGAAATTACTGTGTCCTAATTATAAACCTCGTCATCAAGGAGGTTTTCATACAAAATTCAGTTAGCACTATTGAAAAAATAGCTTTCTTTTCCGTCCCAAAGACCCCGTACTCCAGCGAACTTATCCATGCTTACCAACAAAATTTAGTTTTGGTAACATTTCCACCTTTTAAAACATTCTTCGTAGATCAAATGCTGTCATCTCCACATCACAGAGATTTCTGAGCAAAAATGCGCCCCTTGTTCTCTGCCACATTGTCTACGAAATTCAATAAAGCTGTTTACTGATCAGTCAGTTAGACACTAAATGATCACTTCAACGATTCAAATCCAATACAGATAATCACTTCACTGAACAGGCTTCACACCTCGCCTAAATTCTTCCTCATTAGTCACGTACAGAAATCTTTGCAGCCACCACATATCCGCATTAAAACCAACTAGTTTAGCACTGCCAACCTCCCAGCTGAATCTTACTACCTCAACCTGTTCTGTAAAAGGACTTTAA